CCCCAAAACCCCAAAACCCCAAAACCCCAAAACCCCATTCAATTTAGAACCATTGAAATTATTTCTGCGAGTTATCTCTCGTCAAAATTACCCTTCTCTTTTCGAATTTCGCCACACTGGAGGACTCTGGACTTTCCCTACTTTTGAACAAAATAATTTTTGTGTTATTAACCTTGACTTCTAAATATCATATGTGAGTTTACTATTTTGTGACCGTTGAGGAGATTTTACGCTATTTCCGGAATGAGGACTGTATTTTCGGATCACACCCTGGGATGCTCTTCTTCGAAGATTTTAAAGCTGAGGTTTGAGAGCTTTGTATCTTCTTCCTCAACATCTCTAAAATCTGCATCTGAGAGCAATTATTCAAGCTGACTGAGCTACTATTAGATTTTTCAACATAAAATCCAAAAGGAGTTAAGAAACTATTTCAACTGTTTAGACTTCTTCTTTGAAACTGATAACTTGTCTCTATGCTTAATCATCCATCTGTCAGTAATTTTTCCAGATTTCTCTCCTGAAAGATCCCTGTTCACATGTTTGTGAAGAGGGTTTTCCCTCAGGACAATTTTTGGGAAGGGAGACTTCCAGATGGTATCCTTAGAGGCTTTTCTAGAAACATTTTGCACATCCAAAGTCTTTCCTCGCTCTAATACATAAGTCTATGGATATTACTATGAGATAATTTCTCCATGCGGGATCTTTTCTTACTCCAAACAGAGGCTTTTCCTGCAATCTGAAGATTTCTACACATCAAGCCAGGAAGTTACTCTGGGTTTGAAGCTTTATGTTTCTTATCAAAAGCTGTTTTTATCCTCATAAAAGTCTGTTTCGGATCTGAATCTTTACCAGCAAATTTACCTGTTTTTGTGATCATCTTCTGTATGATTTTGGCTGGTTTATTATCAGAGATAATCAACTCAGCACTGCCTGTTGATCTTTGTCGTCTCTTCTTGATACCAAATATTCCTGGGACTATAAGGAGTAACTGTTGTCCGAATTCGTAGCTTACTTTTAAGCATGTTCTTCAGATGTACATTCTGAAATGGATTTTCAGAGATACCAAAATTCCGCCTTGAAGTATTTATCGAGTTGAGAACTTTACTGGGGACTTCCAATCCAGCGGACAGCTCCTTCTTCAAGCTTCGCCTAAGCTCGGAAACATTCTTTTTGACGAAGTGTTTGCAAGGATCTATTGTCCGTGAAGATTCCTTTGGATGCATGATGAAATTTCGGTCTGTAAAAATTATTATTGAAAGTTCTAGTGAAATTACTGCGGTTTTGCTTACCATCGTATTCACTTGAGAAAGTCATACTCAATATTTTAAATATAAAATGGGGTTTTGGGGTTTTGGGGTTTTGGGGGTTTGGGG